GGGGGGGCTCGGGGGCCGGCGCCCCCCGGTATTCGCTCGCTCCTCGCCCCTGCGTTTTGGCGCAGCTCTCCCGAGCCGAAGGCTCCCGGAGCAGTTCACCGGCTGTCCGTGGGCTGGTGCCTTTCTCACGGCAGTCTGCCTCTTCGTCCCAAAATGTCTTCAGGGCAGACGCCGTTCCGTGATGTCATGTCACACTCACGGCTGCGATACGTGTCTGTTTGACTTCTAATAATGTCACCGACTCATTCGGCGGGGTAGAGTGTGAGAGGTGGTAAATACAAGAAATATCACATTCCTCTTGAGGGGGAACTTTGTTTCCTGGTAGTGGCTAAGACAGGGAAGCGAGGAGCCTGGTCCCAGCCTGTAAACAATATAGACCTTTTGAGGTGTGTGGATCTCAGTAGTCAGCAGCGATTCATGCTAGTCAGGATGGTACATCCCCTGATTTTGCAGGTCCGGGGGATGTACCCTGGTTAGAGGGCTCAGCAGCTGGCGCAGGAGTAAAGCCGTTGAGCTTGAGAATTGTGACGTTAGTCTCCGGACACTGATATCCTTGCGTTACTGCTGACTGCAGAAGGTGGAATAGTTTTTTCTAGCTCTGCCACTGGAGAGTTGGAAGGATGGCAAGGGATAAAACCATTTTAAATTCTCTGTTCCATTTTAAGGGTTCTGCTGTTGCAAGAAAAATTACATCCACTCTTATAGCTTCTCTTTCTACTGAACAAGAAAAGGAGGTCATTAAGAGGGGAAGCATTTTCTAAATTAAATCACTGTGGATACATAGCTCATTGAGAAATAAGCGGCTGGTAGTTTTCAACAATTAGTCAAATTACAAGGAGGACATGAATGGGGTCTGACCGTAAAGAGCAGGATGCACTTATACAAGATTTGGATCTTGCAATTACTTTGTCAAGATGATTTATGGATTCTGTTCCTTGTCTCTAAACTGGAAAAATGTTCAAAACCAGCAAGACTAACTGAAATGCATTACTTTTTACCAAAGACAGGGAAATCAAGTCCGTAAATACAAAACTGATGAGGCAGTAGCACTGCAGAAAGTAATTTTGAAAGCATGGTAGGTCGGACTAGTAAGTCAACGTGATCTGGCATTGCAGGAAAAGGGGAAAAAGTCATGCTCAGATATAAACGTAAATGCTCTATTTAACATACGAGGGGCAGTCATTGGGTACTACTCAGTGCTAGGGGAGCTTTAGATCTATCCGGTTTTGATATTATGCTTGAAGATGGAGCAAGCACACTGGTGCATGATGAAATTTTAAGACATTGAGTTTAAGTTTAGATAAAGTAGGCTGGTGAGAGGGAGACTTTAGGATGTTAAAATCTTTCAGGCAAGAAAAATGTGATCATATATTCTCTTGAGGTCACAGAGGGTAGAAAAAGTGATACCGTGTTTGATTTTCAGCAAAAGGGAATTAGGCTATAAGTGTTGTGGCTTGTGCTTGACTTCTCACCTGAGAACTGAAGTATATAGTTCTCTACTATAATACCAGCTTTGGTTTGTTTGCTTTTTTTGCACGTCATTTCTTTAATTATGAAATTGAAAATGGTAGTATGTAAAGGACAGCCAAGACCTTTGATCTGTTTAGACTATGTGTATTTTAAGTGTTTGTTTAGCTAGGCTATATGAATTTCGGTTTCTAGCTAGGTGTTAAGAGCAAAGGTAGCTACCTAGTGGTAAAGTGAAATTTAGGGCTTTTCTAGGGTAGCGGTTGAAGTGGGTAAAGCGACAGAAGGAAAAAGGGCAAAGAACCTTCGTTTCAGGGTCGCGAAAGGAAGTCAGTCTTGATAAGGTCACCATCTTGTGAGCTGTCTGCATTCTCATCTTTTCAACTCACCAAAAACCCATGTTGTGTTCCACGTGAATGAGTTGAGTAGAACGTACCAACCTTTCTGTTGCAGGTTAGCTTAGCCTATAAAAGGTGTATTATGCTGTGTTACAAGAGCAAAACTAGCCTGGGCTATCCTTATGGGAATATTTTTGTTTTTTAATATGCATAATGTAGAGTTTAAATTGTCTAGATTGTAAACATTACACCTGTTTACTGATACTGAGAGAGTTACTGCTTTTTGTCAGTAAATCTTGGATCTGGAACTTCCTTTCCCATCAGCTTTAATGCAGTTTGTTTGAGGCTTGCTTTTGAAATTTTACTATTTAGTCTTTCTGCAAACATGCTGTAGAATGGATTGGCTAAAGGAAAATTGTGAGGCTGTTTGTATTAAGCGGTTTGGTACAGTCCCTTGGTCTAGTGAAAACAGTTACGCTTTAATCCAGCTTTCTAATACCTTGCTGAATTGCGATCTAGAGAGGTTATGAAACAGTACTATGTACTGCCTGCGTGCTTCTGGCTATTATTTTTCAGAGAACTTGGTATTTTTCTGCCCA